TTCACTTTAAGCACCTTAAGTTAGGCACGCTTTATGATTTTACATTGCCGATCTTTACTGTGACGTAATAGTCACTTATTCCCCGCGCTTTACGGCCTTCTAGAACTTTCCTTGCCACGAGGTAGACGCAGAGTTGCCATATTGGCTTTTTTAACGCCAAATTTGCCATTTTTGGCTTTTTTCAAACGCGTTTGGCGTCAGAATTTCCGTTTGGCTTTTTGGCGTTTTTTTTTTTGCTTTTTTCAAGTCTATTCTAGTGTCTATTATTAAAATCATATGAAATACAATATTTAGTGTTCAACAACTGAACAATAGTCTATTACCTGTACTTAGCTACTTAACATCAGGCTTTCCTGGAGCATCGATTCCCTTGTTTGTTACATTAACTCTTAACCCTACCCAATATAAAATAATTGCAGTTTCTGCAGCTGCTCAGACAGATGTTCAAGCGGGGTTGTAAACATTGCCTGGTTTTAATAGTTTTGCGTGTTATTTGTCAGTTTTTGGCTCTGTTTCCAAAAAGTAATTGTATAACTCAATTTTCATTATGCCTGATATGGTTTATGTGAGCTCTAGTTTAATTCTGCAATTGCAGTATTCAAATTTAGTCTCACGAACGAGGTGATTAACTACGCCAAAATTACTGAATTAGATATCAGTGGTCCACCTGTGAGCGGCACGGCGTTAGATAATTTTTTAATGTAATTGATGATTTATAAATTTAAAAAGTTAAATTTTTTCTATAGTAAGATACAATATAGGGAGAATTTTTTAAGGTATATTGCAAGTTTAAGTAGAAACATGTAGGTATATTACATGCTGAAGCGGCACCCTGTCTTGTATATTGAATGGTAAAATAATTCTGTCCACTTGATATTTATTTCCCCTTCTACAGTTCTATAGGAACTTTACTTTCTATTTGTGTGCCTCACTGAATGACATGATGGCTTTACGTCTTCATCATCATCAGTACGTTGCCAAGGGCTTAAAATCTGACTAATCATGGGGCTTTTGTACTTGGTAAAATTGTTGGCTTTTTTTGTGTCTTGATTTGGCTTTTTTTGATCGCTGGGATCTGGCAACCCTGGGTAGACGCTTGTTGCGCTTTGCTTATTAGGGAGGATTCTGCGCGACTGCAGATTTTATAGTTTATAGGTTTTACTATTTTCTGGTTATATTACTAAATGATTATCAGGTATGAATTCTAGAATTGATATTAATATGTTTATCCATATATTGTCCGATAAGTTGTGAGGATTGCTGTATTTTGTTGTATCGTATATGTCGCTTATTGTTTTTATTTGTATTCTAGCATACTTATGCAGTATGCAGTTATGGCTGTTCTTTGAGTCCTTGTCAAAAACAGTCAATTTATCACTAACACTAACGCCGACACTAACCCTAACACTGTTATCACTGACGTCAACATTAGATGTGTTTAAACAAGATAATAAAGTTTCTTTCAACACAAGTCTACGGAATTGTTGGTGTACAGGTTGTAGTGTGTGTTGGTCAGTTGGTGCATAGATTGAAGACATTATTTGGGGACCTAAGGGACAGGACGCGTCTCCAGTTACCCTGTATCTTTGAGTCGCAGTGGGACACATTAGGTACCGTACCCTACGCGTACTTATCCCACATCGAAATAAATTGACTGATGGCTTTAAATGATGAAATTCTTCAATCTGCTGTGTGTCACACCAGCACAGCATTGGAAATCCAGACACTGGAAACAATTCGACTCGTTCATGATCGAAACATCACTACATTACTTACCAGTCTTGATAGACTGATGAATATTCCAAATAATCGAAAAAATGTAGTTGCTGCCAAGGATAGACTGGATAATGCAGTTGCTACTTGGGAGGAATATTGGAACAATTACATTACTTCGCATTCAGCAACAACAGAATCTGATGCCATGAATATTCAAAATGCTTCACTGTACTTAACTCAGCTAAATGATATGAAAAATTCATGTAATATGAAATATCAACTTTATCAACAAGAATGCCTTGCTAGTGATCAATCCAAGCAAGTTCCAGAAAATCCAAACGTTCACATTCGAAGACTAGTAGCACAACTTCTTCCACAAAAGCCAGGTTACTGGAACTGGAGGCAGCTTAGGAATTAGAAGAAGCCCAACTAAAAATTAGAAAAGCGTATTATAAGCAGCAACGTGCTAAAATTTTATCACAAGCCAGCAGTGCGAAATCCTCAAGAAGTTCGTTGATCGAAGTACAAGCTCTTGACGAAACATTATTCGAACCACCCCCAGCGTTGAATTTGCGAAATTATGTGCCGGAATATCCTTGTAACGTCATGCAACCTTCTGTTCAAGTTTCAACAGGAGGTGGAATAACTGGCATTCTCAGCTCAGAAATTGGCACTTCTACAGGTATGGCCATTACAATGCCTTCTGCTAGTATAACTGAGCTTACATTTTGTAATCCTACTCCTGTTAACAATAAGAGACAACAATTGCATAGAATTGGAAATAACATTGGCACCTTACCAATTGTACCTTCAGCTATACATGATAATATTGCACCATTACAAAATTTGCCTGTTGTGACGACCCCAGGTATCTCTATGGGGCCGGCGTTATCTCACCAAACTGCAAGAAAGAATTTGTCATATCCCACTGTCTCATCAAGTTACCATGATAATACGTTACCTGCATATCCCCCTATGGGGACGGCATCTACAGGCACATCATTTTCGTATCCTGCTATTTGTGAACCAACTTTTACATACCCACAATTTTTTTGCCCTGTGACTTATCCTGAGCCCCTTCCTACCTTGCCTACCCGATCCATTATGTCATCAATGGCCAGAGATGACTGTTGGATGCCACCGCCTTCAAGATCCTATCTTCCTCCTAATCCTGCACAACCACCAGTAATTTCAAGACCTGATCCTCACACTTCAGTATCGTTGAAATATCCATCTCAAAGATTTGATCATAATTCCAGCAGGGATAATTTGTATGTTTTGGCAAACACCACGAAACAAGGCTTCACACTGCCTAAACTTGACCCCATAACCTTTGATGGTGACCCCAAAAGCTATCATGCATTCACGCGTGGATTTGACAACATCATTGGTCATCATGCCTATGAACCTGCGGTGTAATTAGCTCAGCTCATACAGATGTGTACTGGTGAGGCCAAGGATGCTATTAAGCATCTTGTAATTGTCGATTCTCCAAGCAGCACGAGACACCTTACTGTATCGATTTGGAAATCGTACACTAGTTATTGACGCTCACATCCGCCAACTGACAGAAGGACCTAGAATAAGAGCCAATGATACTAAAGCACTGTGTCGACTTGCTTCACAGATGAGAAACTGTTTTATTATTCTGACACAGTGGAAAGCTGAACAAATGCTGGATGCACAAGCTTATCTAAAAGATATATTTCGTCGTCTGCCACCAACATTACAAGCAGATTATGTACATGACACTTCTTGGAAGAATCATCCGATTCCTTCATTCACTCATTTATTGGAATTTGTTGAACTGAGAGCCCATCTCAGTAATAATTTTTATGGACGTTTAATGGCAGAAAATGACAACAAGCCCAGGGCAGTACAAAATTTTAAACCTCGCTTTGGGAAAATGTCTGCCTATTCTACAATCAGTTCTTCAACATCACAGAAGAGGAATTCATCACCTGCTTACAGACCAACACATCACAATGGAAGACAACAAGCTCATGGTGCTAGCCAAAAGCACCCACAAACTTTATGTTTATGTTGCAAGAACGATCACCCTTTATATCGTTGCGCAACATTCAAACAATATGACCTGCAACATCGTCGTGATTTCATTCGAGAGAACAATTTATGCTTCAACTGCATGAGATCCGGACACATCGTCAAGGAATGTCCGTCTCAGAAACGTTGCCAAGCTGATGGGTGTACACAGAAGCACCACACACTACTTCATCAGAATGAAATGCCAACCAGGCCATGATCACCTGTGACCGGAAATATACCCACGGACACTAATAGTAAGGTCAATTCAACAAATGTAAGTTCTTATTTTGCCAATGTTGTCAACTTTTGTGATACTGATTGTTTTGTTAGGCTCATGGTTGTCCCTGTTGAGGTGAAAGTTTGTGACTCAAACCATAAGTCACTGACATATGCCATCCTAGATTATGGGGCAACTAGATCCTTGTGTTCCACTAAATTAGCTAGGGATTTGGCTTTCAATGGTGAGCCAGAGAGATGTACAATACAGACTGCCATCGGTCCAAAACTTCATGATGGCATGAAGGTTTCCTTTACTATTAGGGGTGTCCATGAACCACAGACCGTTGATGTTCACCATGCCCTGACCTTTGACTTGATACCTGATGTACGAGATTCAATACCAAACTCTGAGGCCACACAGCGTTATCCTCACCTACGGGACCTAGATTTCCCCTATTGGATAAACCGATTGATTTGCTTATTGGGGCTGATGTCCTGGGTCGTTACCCAATTACCGAAACCCGGGTGGGTGCAGCTGGATCCCCCACTGCATTACACACCATCCTGGGTTGGGCCCTTACTGGCCCAGATGTAAGCATTGCAGAGACCAATGCAGAAGTCAATTATTTGAATACTGTACAACCATTTGATTGTAATTTTACTGATTTTTCTAATTTTAATGAACCTATTTGTCATATGTGTGCTCATGATTTTGCTGATGTCAATGCTAACCCATGTATTACTCAGCCATCCCAAGATGATAGAAGGGCACATGATTTTATGAACCAAACTGTGACCAATGTTGATGGTCGGTTTCAAATTGGACTTACATGGAAGTCAGACACTGTTAGCCTTCCCTATAACCGTAATATCGCTGAGAAGCGACTAACATATTTGAAACGTAAATTCATGGGGGACCCCGAATTATTTCAGAAATATAGAGATAAAATTGAGGGTTATATTCAGAATGGTTACGCCGAAGTAATCCCATCACATGCACTCACACCCACAAATAAAACATGGTACATTCCACATCATGCCACCAATCTAAATTTAGAGTTGTTTTTGACAGTTCTGCTGAGTGTAAAGGAACTTCATTGAATAAAAATTTGTTTTCTGGTCCTGACAACAACAACATGCTAACAGGAGTGCTCATTCGATTCAGGCAAGAATTGACTGCATTTGTTTGTGACATAAAAGAAATGTTCCACAGAATTAAAGTTTCACCTGACGACACAGATGCTCAGCGGTTCCTATGGTGGAAGGACCATAATTTGGATAGTGTTCCTATTGACTTTAAAATGTTGTCCCACAACTTTGGGAACACTTCATCACCTTTTGTTGCCACATTTGCGCTACACAAAGTAGCCACAGACAATCTGTCCAATGCAGATGAAATGACAGTACGCACAGTTATGCGCAATTTTTATGTCGATGATGGACTGAAATCTGTCGATGATCCATCAGATGCTGTAAGACTAATCAAACAGCTCACTGAATTGTTGGCAACTGGAGGATTTCACCTCACCAAATTTATGAGCAATGATATCAATGTTCTGCAATCAGTTCCAGAAAGTGACCGTGCTCCTGCAATTAAAGACCTCAATCTTGAAAGTAATTCACTCAGTCAAACCCTATGTGTTCAGTGGAACATGCACACTGATGAATTTGTAATATATGTTAACATTGAACCAAAGGCGCTCACTCGAAGAGGCATTCTTTCAATGGTGAGTCAAATCTTCGATCCTTTGGGTTTCGTTCAACCATTCATCTTACCTGCCAAGCGAATTCTACAGGATCTTTGTATTGAAGGATACTCATGGGATGACCCAATTACTGGTTTACTAAAGGACCGTTGGGAAAAATGGATCGATAAATTACATGCATTGAATGGCCTGGCGATACCTCGATGTTACAAACCACAAGAGTTCAAAAGCAACAATATCCAATTACATTGTCTTTGTGATGCCAGCACATCTGGCTATGGAGCATCAGCTTACTTACGACTTACTGGCGACAAAGGTGAAGTTTATTGTTCCTTTGTCAGGGGAGTCGCTAGAGTAACTCCTAAGCAGTCACTGACTATTCAGCGACTGGAACTCATCGCTGCAGTTGTGGCTGCTGAACTTGCAAATTCAATTTTACAAGAACTGGACCATACAGTTGACAGCGATATATATTGGTCAGATTCCATGTCAGTTATCCAAATGATCAATAATCGTTCTGAACGCTTCAAGACATTTGTGGCCAACAGAATAAACACAATTCATCTCTTGTCAAAACCACATCAATGGCACCATGTCGAACATAAGCTGAATCCAGCCGACATCGCTTCTCGTGGTCTGATGCCAGATAAACTGAACAAGGCCGGTATTTGGTTCAAAGGCCCACAATTTATATGGGGAAGTGAAGATGCATGGACCGTCGTTAATGATGGGATTCATAAAGTCCCATGCGACCCACAACTTGCTTCGGAGATGAAAGTTCATTATACTGAACCTATGAAAGATCTCACAGATTCTTCTCCATTACATGAACTGTTATTGCGTTACTCATCATTCGAAAAGCTACGTAAAGCTGTTGCATGGCTACTACGTTTTCGTACATATGCAACTTGGAAATTCTCACATTCTGACAATTCACCAACTTTGGGATTTTTATCTGTGGAGGAATTAGATTGCGCCACCAAAGAAATTATGAAACTAGTACAACGATCATCCCTCTCAGAGGAGCTCAAATATTTTGAAGATAATACAGATGCTGAGGAAGTTCCGTTGAATCTACAGAACAAAAAGAAACTCAAAACACAATTTTCGAAAACACTTCTCAAATGCAACCCTTTTGTACAAGATGGAATCCTGCGTGTAGGTGGACGACTTCGAAACTCTGGTTTACCAGTTGATCAGAAGCATCCGATTATTCTTCCACCATACCATCATGTGACAAAGCTGATTATTACCAAACATCATGAAATGACTGGACATTCTGGTACATTACACACACTTTCCTCTGTTCGTGGCAAATATTGGATTTTGAAGGGACAATCTGCTGTTGCTAAGGTTGTTCGTGACTGTGTTGCTTGCAACAGACGTTCTGCAAAAGTAGGAGAGCAGCGGATGGCAGATCTACCATTTTCTCGTGTTACTGCAGGTAACCCACCATTTTTCTACACTGCAATTGATCTGTTTGGCCCTGTGAAAGTCAAATTGGGGCGGAGCGAACATAAACGATATGGCTGTATATTTTCATGCATGGCTACAAGGGCCATTCATATTCGAAGTTGTGGAATCTTTGTATACTTCAGCGTTTTTGCAAGCTTTCTTCAGGTTTACATCCAGACGTGGGAAACCTGCTCATGTATATTCAGACAATGGATCCAACTTGGTGGCTGGAAGCAAAGCTATTGCAGATGGTATTAACAAATGGAATTCCAAACAGATTGACACATCTCTATCTCAAAAGGGCATACAATGGCATTTTTCGCCTCCTCTTTCTAGTCACCAAAATGGAGTGGTAGAAAGAATGGTACGAGAGGTGAAAAGAATTCTCCGAGCTCTTTTGGATGGCCAGTTTTTCAATAGGCTTGATTATATGTCCATCAAAACCAGTCCAGCAAACCGGTTCGGTTGAAGTGGTCTCGGAGACTACTTAGTGGCCTCGATTACATGTCCAAACCAACAAGCTGAAAACAGTTTTGGAGTTGCCGGATTAAATCAAATAAGTCATGATTTGCAAACACCAGTGACGGCGCGTCAATAGGGCCAACCGGGGCGATGCCCCGGTTGTTTTTTCGGTATAATAAAAAATATTCGAAAAATACCTCAATATCGGTTGCACAGACTGTCTACACTAGCCATATTCTCCCGACATGGTTCATTTTTCGCTCGCAAAGCCTTCGCCGAACGTCGACGGGGCGACGCCGATTTTGCCCCGGTTGCTCATTGTATATCGTATTCTCTCTTTTATCTTCCACTCGCAGCGTTTGTCTCGTTTGTTTTCTGTTTCTTTTACTAAATCATCGGGGCTAGCCGACACAATGCCGACGTTTCTTACAACAACGTGTTGACATATTCACGCATTCCATCTCGTTCGTTGGTTGCTTGAAGAGTTGATAGTTTCCTCGCCTTCGTTTTTGTCGCTTGTTTCGCTATTTGAATCAGTTAGAGACCTTTAGTCCATTTGTTTTCGATTTTCCACATTCCTTTTGAGCTCCTCACTTCTTTCCGGCTTCGCATTTCTTAGCCTTAGACCTCATAATGAATAAGGTTGATGCACTACTTCGCACTCCGTTTTCGCAGCTGCCGCTGGAACAAAAATTAGAGGTACAACGTTTTGGGCCTTATCAACCAAAAAATTGTTCACTGGAACAATCCCATGACGGAGGAAAGCGTCGGCGTACGTTCTGCGCAGAAACTTGGTATAAAAAACACGAATGGTTGTGTTACAGCGAGGACAAAAACGCACTTTTTTGTTTTTATTGCCTACTTTTTGCTACCGCCCGTGACTCACGTTGGTGTAAATTTGGTTTTAGAGATCTTAAACATCTTTCCGAGCGTGCCAGGGATCATCAATCTTCTATGGAGCATCTGGACAATGCAGTAAAATACCGAACATTCGGAAATGTTAATATTGCAGCACAGTTGGATGAAGGACGCGCGGTTTCTATTCGTCGGCACAACCAAAACGTCGAGAAAAACCGCCATGTTCTCGGTCGATTGATAGATGTTTTGAAGTTCATTGGTTGTCACGAGCTGTCCCTCCGTGGGCACGATGAACGGGCTGGCTCTTCTAATAGAGGGATATTTTTGGATATGGTGAAATACACCGCATCCCTAGATACAGTATTGAGAGATCATCTTGATTCCGCAACTGTTTCGAAAGGGACATCTAAGGATATCCAAAATGATTTGCTCGACTCAATGTATAAAATTTATTTACAACACTTGGCTCTGGAAATTGAGAATTGCCAGTTCCTTTTGATTCAGTCTGACGAGACAACTGACATCACGTGCGTTTCCCAACTGGCTGTGATTTTTCGGTTTGTGAAAGATGGTAAACCTACCGAGAGATTTCACAGCTTTGTACCAATCGTTGATCGCACGGCTTGCGGGATATCGGCTGTACTGAAAGAAATGTTACAGCCTTACAACGCGAAGTCAAATTGATAGCTCAAACTTATGACGGCGCGGCAGTCATGAGTGGGTCGAAAGATGGTGTTCAAGTTTATATAAAAGAAGATTTTACTCATGCGCATTTTTTACATTGTTATGCATACCAATTTAATCTCGTTATTAAAAATATGTGTCTTGATAGCCCTCTCGTCCGTATATTTTTTGCAAATGTTTCGGGGTTTTCTTCATTTTTTTCCGTTTCGCCGAAGCGCTCTGACCTCCTTCGCCAGATATGTAGCCGCCGTCTCCCAGATTGTGCACCAACACGTTGGAACTTCCAATCACGCGTGGAGCAGGGCGTTTCCGAAATTAGGTCTGAGCTCATTGAGTGTTTCAATGGCATTCAGAGCACTCCGGTTTGGGACGATCGCTCTGTGAGGGGTCGGCAGGTCTAAAGCGTCTGCTAGAAGATGGTGAGTTTTCATTTTTTCTCCACAATATTCTATCACGTGGATGTATTATACGGCGCATTGCAGTCAAGGCTAATGGATGGAGCGTCTGTGCAGTCGTGTATTTCAGACTTCTGCGATGCTGTATCTCGTATCCGGGAAACAATAAAATACGACGACACATGGAGTGCTTCTTTACTCCGCGGGCAAACAACGCAGCGTTTGATTTTGTCTGCAAAGGAATGCTGTGACATTCTGGTGAATCAAATAGGCGATCGTCTGCGCACTGAACACCTTGGCGCGTTCTCTTTGATGAACCCCAAAAATTTTTTCAAAATTTGCACGTCAATTTCCCATCCATTTGTTGGCTACTGTCTCCAAATTTTACCCCATGATAAACGTGGGTAAATTGGAAAATGAATTGCGATGTATATACACCAATCAAACTTTTTTGAACATCACATCCACTTGTGCGCTCTATGGGTTCCTCATAGATAACACTCTAGTAACTACCTTTGCGGCGTCTGCAAAATTTCTGGACATCATTTTGACGACGCCTATTTCTTCCGCCGACGCAGAGCGAACATTCAGCACGCTGAAGCGTATTAAAACGTATCTCAGAAACACAATGAAGCAAGATAGTTTAAATTCCTTGGTTGTTTTATCCATTCACAGAGACGTTATTTCTGGGATGCATGACTTTAATCAGCGCGTTATTGAGCATTTTGCTTCCAAGAAACCGCGGCGTGTTGCATATATGTTCAATAAGTAGAAGTCTAGCAGCATATATATCTATGAGTGAGCGACGCATGTCCTTATCTTTGCATTACCTTTCCTTTCTTCATAGTAACGTTTTAAACCTTATTTTAGGTTTTGTCTGCTTTCCCGTAGTTTCTGTTAATATGTCATTGTATTTATCTGGGTAAATTGTCACGTCTTTTGATAGCCCGGAATCTATATCGACGAGACACAATGAAAACGTATCGAACGCGCCACTCTCAGCCCCTTTGTCCACAAACAAGACACGTGCATAAATCACTTCTTTATATTCTTGGCAAAGAACGGCGGTTTTCTTAAATAAATAAAACAAAATTGATTAACATAAGTCAAAGCATATAACAACAACAAAAGGCAAATTTCTCACCAAACGTTTTCCGATCCGGGAGGCTAATAGAATTACAATATATACCAGATAAATAAACAGTCCACAATACAGACAAATATCTGCGACTTTACACGACGAATACGTGATGCAAATGACCGAAAGGAAAACGCTAGACCAGACAATAGATAATAATACTAATTTACGCTACAAATAAAGGGTAATAATGAGTCTACAATGATTGGATGCAAGGCAGAGCATGATGCACTGCATACAGTGGCAAATTATACGACAAACGTACGTTTACAACGTAACATAAATATTGCCTTTCCTTTTGAAAGAGGTTTCAAAATAAACTATGTCTATATTTATTAATCCCTTGACTTGGACCGGTTTTAAAAACACTTTCTTATCGTTAAAAATTGTCGCTTTTGCCGATTGGTTGTTACCGATGGAATGGTTTTTATACTCATAAAATGATGGGAGAACTTACAGCGCTCATCCTGTCCCCGTAGATGGGGGTGACTTGATCCCGCAGTAGCTTGCCCCGGTTGTCAAAAGGACCACGCGCCGCCAGTGGCAAACACTGCATATATTTTATTTTCAATAAATTCATAAATTCAATACAAATGTTAATTAAAGCATTGAAATTAAATGCACGTTCTTGAACTTCTTTGAAGTTATTTGCAGAATATGATGAGGGAGGGGTCGCTTTCCCGTTGAAATTTGCCCACAATCAAAGAACAAAACGACGAATTTATTGGGGGCATAAAAGATTTTTTAGACGATTCAGATAATTTTGGCCGACCATCCAGCGTTCAACGCTACAGACTACTGGCACCTTACGCCACACGATCCATTCAAAAATCACAGTAGGCCTACAGTTACCAGTAGTCTACTGATAGACTGGCTACCAAATTAAAACAATTACATTTTATCAACCAAACACTTGTGTGAAGTGGGCTCATCATCTGTAAATAGGAGCACTTTCATTATTTAATATCGCCCTACTACTGCAACTTTACCGACACTGAAGCTTTGTATTTATGCTGGGGCCGGTATGTACAGTAAGGGTGCCGGTACCAGCTAGAATGCGGTATGGCTGTATAGAATTCTCAATGCAAACTGAAGTCGTACTGCGCTCAGTTTATACCAATAAATCTTTAGACATCAAGATTTAATTCTCTGTTTCAAAACAACAGCCTATCATGCCAATATGCCGGGATCCCACCAGTACCGGTATTTCAAACTTGTTTTCAGCAGCGACACAATAGATGCGGAAGATGTTTAAATTGAACTTGCCCTATCTAGCTGAATTTTTATTAGTTAAAAAAAGCAACTCACTTACCAGAGATCAAAAAGAAAAAAACTGCCGTACCTCCTGCGATCACGGTGATTGACGATTTCTCGAGTAGCACGGCGAAGCAACTGAGCAAGACCGGTCAGCTCACTTTCATCCATGCTTTACTATTTATCTATATCAGTGGTTCTCAACGGGTGGGGCGTGCCCCGCAAAGAGGCTTAGACAATATATTTAGGGGATGTGAACCTAATTAAAATAAAAAACATTTAGACCGTGAGACGAGGCCCTAAAAAACGCCTAGAAAATAAGTTTCGAAGCACACATAAGGGAACTACCTGGAAATAATTCTAAAATGTTCCTTAGCAATTTAGTAACAAATAATGCTTTGTTTCCACTCCCAAAAGTTGCACGTTTGACGAAAAAGACGCTTTTACTACATGAAATATGTGCTACGATCTGTCCTAAATTCTCTACATTTCCGGCAATGAACTGTGGCGCGACTGGAATTGTCCTATTTTTTATTGTTTTGTATTTTATTTATATTTAGTGTCTAGTTATGGCATATGCATTGGTGTGTGGAGTCTGAGCCCTAATTTGCCCAATAGTAAGATTCAGTTACTTGACTCCAACCACCACTGCATATGGCCAGCCTCTTCTTGCTTTTG